GTGCAGGGTTGAAAATGTCAGGCAAGGAAGGGAAGAGAAAATATTGGGGGCCAGGGAAGGCTCCACAGAGAAGGGAACTTTTGAGTAAAGACAAGAAGCAGGTGAGGACAGCTCTGTGGGGCTCCAGGGGAGAAGCATTCCAGGAAGAAGGAATAGCAGGGCGGAGGCTCTGGGATGGGAGCACACCTGGTCAGTCGGCGGACAGCGGGGAGGCCCCTGTGGCTGCACAGAGTGGGCGGAGAGGGAGACAGGATTAGGGAGGGAGAGGCATTGGGTCCTACCACACTCTGGACAGCCGTAAGGACTTGGGCTTCTCCGAGTGAGCGGGAGCCCCAGAGAGTCAGGAGAGGAGACTCCGGCTGCACCGTGGGGAAGAAATGGCTGGAGTTTAATCAGGAAGCAATTGACCTGATTTCAGGGAGAAAGTATGATGCCTGGCCCATGGGGGAGATGGCAAGGGTCGATTGTGGATGTTTATGTTGAGAGAGAGCAGCAGGCTTTGCAGGTGGATTGGATGCAGGAACTGAAAGATGGGAGGAACGGTGGCCAAGATGATTGCCCAATTACCCAGAGGAAAGGGGAGTGGCTTCAGGAGGAGCTGGAGGGATGGTGACATCAGGGCTTGGCTGTGGCGTGGCACTTGAGGTCTATTCTACAGCCAAATGACATCAACAGATGTCAGCGTTGTACCAAGCCACACATCAAGGGATGTCAGGTCCGGATTGTACCAAGCCAGTGATTGCCAAATTCTAGTCATTCCCTCACAATTTTCATCATATATCTGTGTGCCACTTGTGCTATTACTTACTTTTTAAAAATCAGCCGTAATTTTGTTTGTTTTTGTTTGTTTGTTATTTTAAAGGGGATTTCCACTACCCTAAAGGAAAAGCTGAGGTTACTTGCCCTACGTAGAAGAAAATCGGGCCACACAATCTAAGGCAGTGTCACCCTCTGCCTAGAGCACCAAGCGGCCTTTCACACCACTAGCATCCCTGGTGTTTAGTGATGTGACCCTGTGCCACCCCCACCTGGTGTGCCTGATGAAGTCACCACTGGGTGACCCCCTTCTGGGTTCCAAGAGACCATTCTGAGCTTAACTGAAGCCAGGAGTAATCCAAGAGCATGGGGAGCTCACTGCACTTCCTCAGGACACTGTTACCCCGCCTGTGTGACTAGGACATTTCATGAACGTGAAACTCAGCACCCGCCTCTACTGGGTTTGAGTCTTCACTGCCTTCCCAGCCGCACAGCCTTAGCCAGTCATTCAACTCCCCAGGCTCGGTTCCCTCTTCTGTAAAATGGGCCATTGAGAGAATTGAGCCATGAATGTCTTCAGCCCAGCCATAAGCATTCAGCCAGTGATAGTCGCCACTATTAATTACAATGATGACTGTTGGCATAGAAGACTGCCCTCTTCCCCAGGAAGCAGTTGGAATGTTCTCAATTCCTTAGAAAAATCAGAAGGTTAGGCCAGCCTTGGTGGCTCATGCCTGTAATTCCAGCACTTTGGGAGGCCATGGTGGGCAGATCATGAAGTCAGATCAAGACCATCCAGGCCAATATGGTGAAACCCCATCTCTGCTAGAAATACAAAACATCAGTGGGCGTGGTGGCATGTGCCTGTAATCGTAGCTGCTTGGGAGGCTGAGCAGGAGAATCGCTTGAACCTGGGAGTCAGAGGTTGCAGTGAGCCGAGATTGCGCCACTGTACTCCAGCCTGATGACAGAGCGAGACTCCGTCTCAATAAATAAATAATCAATCAGAAGGGTGCAACACCCAAACTTTCAGGGGTCAGGCAGGTAATGAGAGTGGGTGCGGGTGGTGTAAGACTGTAGGGAGTGCCGGGGAGTGCGGCAAACTGGAGAGCATGTATTCTGTGTGATGCTATTTAACGTCAATTTTTTAAAATCCACTCTACAAGACACCAACAACACACAGAGAGATCTGTGGACACCAACTGGTTTGGACTCCTGAGATATGAAAACCCAAGAGTGTAAGATGATATTTTAGTTGTTAATTTAGCTGGTATCTGTTGAGCATATTATGTGTCAGGCACTATGCTAGGCAGTGAACAAAGTAGGCTGAGCCCTCCCCTTGCAGAGTGCTCTGGTGAAGGCAGCAACATACAAATAAGTGAAATCAAAATGACTCATGTTCAAGGACAGTAACTGCTGTGGAGAGACACGGAGCAGAAAAGCAGAGTGGAGAGTGCTAAGGGTCGGGGGAGGTAGTTTCACTACACGCCAGGGAAGACCTCTCCAAGGAGGTGGCATCTGATCAGTACCTTGAAGGAGGCAGAGGGAGCCCTGTGATCAGAGGGGTGAGAGCATCCCAGGCTGAGGGTACGGCTAACACAGAGGCCACGGTGGCCATTGTGCAGTCCTGGACTTCAAGGGCACAACCTTGGTGCCTTGATTGGTGGTGAAAATTCAAAGTTGAAGGAGCTGATTGGTGAGCAGAGGGCCTTCCCCAGATTGCAGGAGGCTGCGGTGGGTCTGATGCTTGTTTTCCGATCTCTAGGGGGTTGCTAGGTGAGTGGGATCACAGCAATCACATGCCTGGTAGACCCTGTTTTGGTTTCCCACTGCTGTCCTAGCAGATCACAAACTGGGTGGCTTAAAACACCAGAAATTGACTCTCAACAGTTCTGGAGGCCAGAAGTCCAAAATCAAGGTGTTAGCATGGCTGTGCTTCCTCAGAGGGCTCCAGGGGAGAACCTTGCCTCTTCCAGCCCTGGGGGACCCCAGGAGCTCCTTACTCCTTGGCTTGTATGTGCCTCCCTCCAGTCTCTGCTTTCCTTTGAATGTGGCCTTCCCCTCTGTGCCTGTGCGTCTTATCCACTTTGTCTCCTGTGTGGACACTTGTCACTTGATGTAGGGCCCACCGGGGAATCTGGAACAAATCTCATCTCAAGACCCTCAACTTAGTTACATCTGCAAAGACCCCCTGGATGTCTGTTTTCATGCTGCTGATAAAGACATACCTGAGACTATGTAATTTATAAAGAAAAAGAGGTTTAATGGACTCACAGTTCTACGTGGCTGGAGAGAATGAGAACCAAGCAAAAGGGGAAACCCTTTATAAAACCATAGATCTTATGAGGCTTATTCACTACCAAGAGAACAGTATCGGGAGACCCACCCCTGTGATTCAATTGTCTCCCATCAGATCCCTCCCACAACACATGGGAGTTGTGGGAGCCACAATTCAAGATGAGATTTGGGTGGGGACACAGCCAAATCATATCACCCTCTTTCTAAATATGGTCATGTTCACAGATTCCAGAAATTAGGACATGATCATATCTTGAGGGGATGGGGGCACCATTCAACCCACTGCACACCTTAAGAACTGCAAGGAAAAGGGAAAAAACCAGGGATGGCCATAGAAGGAAGAGAAAGGATTTCCATGGAATATTTCCATCAAATCACTAAGTGGGTACCAACCACAGCATACAACTGAGCATGTACCTTCACACCTATGTTGAGTACCCACTGTGTGTCACACACAGCAGCAATGCTAAGGATTCAGCGCTGAACAGAGCACACGGCCTTTGCCCTCTTGGGACCGTGGCCTGCACACAGTAGGGCCCCCATGTAGGTTCATTTGCTTCCTTCCTTCTTTCCTTTCTTCCAAAGTGCCTTGCTCTACTTACAGCTTAGTTGAGAAATAAGAGCAGGCATGGCCAGGTAAGGTGGTTCATGCCTATAATCCCAGCACTTTGGGGGGCAGAGGCAGGTGATCACTTGAGGTCACGAGTTTAAGACCAGCCTGGCCAACATGGTGAAACCCCGTCTCTACTAAAAATATAGAAGTTATCTGGGTGTGGGGGCTACTCGGAAGGCTGAGACAAGAGAATAGCTTAAACCCAGGAGGCAGAGATCGCAGTGAGCCAAGATCACGCCACTGCCCTACAGCCTAGGCAACAGAGCAAGACTCTGTCTCAAAAGGAAAAAAAAAAAAAAAAAAAAAAGAAAGAAAGAAACAAGAACAAGCATGGCTGAAACCCTGAAGCCTAGGGTATGATCAGTACTCAGAGCTCTGAGGCCCCAGCAGCCAGAGTGGTCCCAGAGGCTACCTATGAGAGGTGTACTAGGCCGATAGGTTGGATTTGGGGTGAAGGGTAGTGGGTTCCAAGCTAGAAAAAAAGTGGACAAGAGGCGAGCAGGGTTTGTAGCTAATGGCAGGACACCTGAGCCAGGGAGTACTCAGGGAGAAGGTTTGCCACCAGGTTGGCATGACCAGATTTCAATAAAAGCAAACAATTCTTGGGAAGATCCCAAAGAAAACCAAGTGTAATCTTCCCTCAGTTTACATGGTGGTTGGTTTCCAAAAGAAACAAAAAATGATATTAATACCCTGCGAAAACAATGTTCTGTTTAAAATTTGTAAAACAGTTTGATTCCAGCCTCAGATCATTTATAAACAGGTTTTTACCTGTCCTGCAGGCAGAGATGCAATTACAATACAGGACAGTGACCCTACAGTCACTTATAGTCAGTTATAGTCGCCTTCAGCCCTAAACTCCAGACCTAGACCGCAGGAGTGTCCAGGCAGACTCGGGACCCAGGGTTCTCCCTGACTGCACAGGACTGCCCCACCGTGTAGCAGTGGACCCTGCCCCGTCTGCCCCGTAGGTCTGCAGAATGTGCCCTCTCCAGGCCTAGGGATGCCACGTGCCGAGAGCCACCCGGTGCCAGTGCCCCCCCATCTCCCGCCCAGCGTCTCACTTCCGCCCTCGCCTTGCAGGTTCCATGCAGGTGATGAACAAGACCCGGCGCATCATGGAGCAGGGCGGGGCACACTTCATCAACGCCTTCGTGACCACACCCATGTGCTGCCCCTCGCGCTCCTCCATCCTCACGGGCAAGTACGTCCACAACCACAACACCTACACCAACAACGAGAACTGCTCCTCACCCTCCTGGCAGGCACAGCACGAGAGCCGCACCTTCGCCGTGTACCTCAACAACACCGGCTACCGGACAGGTGAGCAGGGTAGGGGGCGGGCAGAGCAAGGGAGTGACAGCAGGGTCCTCGCCAGCGACCTCCTCTGGGTGTCCCTGGGTGTGGTTGGGCACCACTGCCGTACCCGAGATGATTCTGGAGAGCCCTTATAGCAACTCTCTCATAATTTCAAAGTTGCGCATTTATTTGTGTGTGTTAGAGAAATACATTTTTATTTGCTTACAGTAGTGATGTAAAGTGACCTTGTCAAAGGAATTTGAGTCCCCCAAAAAGTAAGTCTTTTCAAAATATGAATTACAGTGCAGAGAGGCCCCAAGCTGCCCATGCATGAGTTTGCATCCTCTGTTAATTGTTATTAAGACCATCAGGGACTGTTTTGTTGACTATAAACCATCAACTTGGAAGAAGGTTCCAGAACATGGGGGTGGGGGATGGGAATTTGTGGAGAGGAACAGATACGGGTCTGCATGGTTGCTGTCTACATGGAGGTAACCAGGGTGGTGCAGAAGCTGATGTGGTGGTTGACTGCCCACACTCATCCAGTAATTGTCATCCTGGGGGCAGGGCCCCCCAGTTCCTGTCGGCTTATCCTGCAGGAGGGCTCTGAAGGCTCACCTGCCAGGCTGGTTGTCTGAGGTACAGATGCAATTACAGTATAGCCACTGACCTCCAGCACTATTGCAAAACCCTCCAGACTCAATTCATTTGACTTGCTTTCATTAAAAATAAATAAATACTCCCCACCTTGGGTAAGAAGCGGCAGCAGTTGTGAAATCAAATATTGTGGCTCAGATGTTGCAACCCCAGGAAGTTGTATCCAAGTGACAAGGGGTTTGTTTGGGTGGGAGTGCCTCAAGGGAAGGATGGACGCCTCCTTCAGCCCTGTTCACAGCCCTGAACCTATAGCCCTCAAGGCTGGACAGCTTCCCGTCAGATACACAGTGTGGGCTGGCAGGGACACAAGCCAGCAAGGTGTGTCTTCTTACAGCCTCATCCCACGGCCAGAATCGCCTAGAAAGTACGTTTTGCTGAGAACTAGGGATGCCTCATTCATATACCTTGTTCATGTATATCATGCGTGCCATTGTGCAGAACCAACCACCTGTTGGTTCCCCTGGGCCTCTGCAGAAAGCCACATGTGTCAGAGGTTATCATGGCCACCACCATAGGTGGTTGAGGGGCTGGATGTTGCTAGCAGAAGCAGGACAGGCAGGCCTGCAGTAGAGCAGTGAGCCCTTATTGAAGACACACCTGCAGCTTGGGTCCAGAAAGTACAGCCATGCATACTCAAGAGTGGCCAACCTTGAAATATTTTAAAGTCTGAATATTTCACTGAAAATCTCCCTATTTTTAAATATGCCAGCACAGCTTATTTTGTCTTTAATATATACTGGGAGCCAAAGAAAATATGTCTGAGGGGTGAGTGTGTGGCTCACAGACCCTTTTCACAACCTCTGGCTGAAAGGTCAGTACAGAAACCTTTCATTTTGGATGCTGGAAGATTAGTAAAGACCCTAAACCTGTTCTTAGCACTCCGCCTCATTTCACAGCCAGGGCCACTGTAGCCCAAAATAGAGATCTGCCCAGAATCAGAGTGAGGTGTTTGTGGCATAATCAAAATGGAATGCAAGATCATGGGAATTCAGAGGGGAGCGTGGAAATCGTATTCATCAAATTGAAAGGAAACTCACATATTCTGTGACATATTGAGGGCTCAGAGTGGGAGCTAAAGGCAAGTGTTTCAAAATCTTACAGGCGACATGAGAAAACGAACCATCTCAAGAGTAAATATTACCTGAAGTGAATTCCCCAAACTTGTCATTGAATGTACACAAATCACCAAAAAGCTGTCTCCCTAAAGAAGTGCTTTTATTCAACTATGCGTCACTATTATACCCTCATGAAGACTGGGAGCATAATGTCAAGTGTAAAGAGCCAGACACAGATGACATTTACATTTTTGTAAAACCACCACTGAGAATTTTATTCATTATATTTAGAATGCCACTCTGTACAAGGAATCCCATTCCAACCTTACTTTCAGAACTCAGGACCCTGAAAACATCTGTTTAGTCTGATGAACTGGTGTACACCTGGTTATTAAATAACAAGAGCCACATACCCTGTGTTCTTTCCCTCTTTGCCCTGGCAGCTAGGAAGCTCAGGTTTGAGTTTTATATTAAGTTGTTGTTTAAAGTGGAAACATTTTAAAATCCAACTGCATTATATGTTATACTGATTAGTGTTGACTAAGAAAAATGACAAAAAACTGTAATGAATTCAGAAACCTTTTAGATTTTTTTCTTTTAGATTGATCTGTACACACATATTAGAATTGTATGGTAAATTTTTAATCCCCCAAGGACCAAAAGTAAATCATTCCTGCTGAGTCTTCAACCATGTTAAACCTTGTGTTCATGTGGCCACCTAGCAAAGCTGGATTTAAGTTTGGCTGTGTGTGTGAGAGAGACCCAGGATGTCAGCTGAAATTCCAAGTTGCTCTGGTAGCCCTGCTCTATGAAGTGGTCAGAGACTCAGACTTTATTTCTCCTTACTTCCCATTGGTGAGAAACAAGTTACATGGCCATGCATTGCTGCAAAGGGACCTGGGAAATGTAGTCTTATTCTGGGTGTACATATGCCCAGTTGAAAATTATTTTACTGTAGGAGAAGAAGAAAATGGATACTGAGGGACAAGGAAAGTCTTGGCCACCCTAACAGTTATTAGCCATTTTTATTTGTGATACCCGTTTGAATAGAGGAGGTCAGCCCAAAATGAGGAAGACTGACCTGAGAAAAATGCTACTTAAGTGGACCACCATTTCATTATAAATAATGCTTTTAATGTATTTAGTAAGGTATTTGATCTTGAAATGAAACTATAGTATTTCAAGAATAACTCTGTTATGCTATATCCGTTTTTTTTTTCTTTTTTTGAGACAGAGTCTCTTTGTCACCCAGGCTGGAGTGCAGTGGCACAATCTCAGCTTACTACAACCTCCGCCTCCTGGGTTCAAGCAATTCTTCTGTCTCAGCCTCCTGAATAGCTGGGATTACAGACACCTTCCACTACGCCCAGCTAATTTTTGTAATTTTTGTAGAGATGGGGTTTTGCCATGTTGGCCAAGCTGGTCTTGAACTCTTGACCTCAGATGATCTACCTGCCTTGGCCTCCCAAAGTGCTGGGATTACAAGCATGAGCCACTGCACCTGGCCCTCTGTTAGGTTGCATCTAACGGTATTTAACAAAGATTGGGCTCTAGTCGTAACTAATGAGTTGATTTTCTTTTTTTTTTTTTTTTTTTTTGAGATGGAGTTTTTTGCTCTTGTTGCCCAGGCTGGAGTGCAATGGAGCCATCTTGGCCCACTGCAACCTCCACCTCCCAGGTTCAAGCAATTCTCCTGCCTCAGCCTCCCAAGTAGCTGAGATTACAGGCGTGTACCACCATGCCTGGCTAATTTTGTATTTTTAATAGAGGCAGGGTTTCTCTATGTTGGTCAGGCTGGCCTTGAACTCGCCACCTCAGATGATCCGCCCACCTTGGTTTCCCAAAGTGCTGGGATTACAGGCATGAGCCACCATGCCTGGCCATGAGTTGATTCTTTAAGCAAGTAAACTGATCAAGTGTAGGGAGGAGTATGATATGTTTCACAAATTTAAATGGATAGCAAGATGATATCCTTGACTTCACCAGGGAAATCTTTGCAAAAGTATTAGAGGATTTGATCAGTTTTTCCAAGGGCCTCTCTTAATTCTTTGACATCTGAATCTTCCCCTGTGAAGTGCATGTCATACGTCATTATCCTTCTCAATAGTCTCTTCTCATTCATGTAGTATCTTTATGAGCCAGATAATTATTTGTCAGTGGATTTGTGTGTGTTTTCTGAGCTATCTTCCAGCATCACTTTAATTAATTTCACAAACCCCGCATATTTTAAAAGATTTGCAACTTCATTTTGCAGTGATCTGGCTTTGCGTTGCCGCATGTTTGCAGTGGAAATTGACAAAGGACAAAGTGAGAGATGCTAAGTTGAAGCAGGATAAATATCAATTTGTTTATGAATATTTCTCTGTATGGCTTCTTACAACTTGGGGGACTTGGATCTCAGATATAAGTACCCTTGGAAGAGTAAATTGCATTCTCAGTTTTTTGGTTTTTTTTTTGAGACAGTGTCTCACTCTGTCGCCCAGGCTGGAGTGTAGTGGCACAATATAGGCTCACTCCAACCTCCACCTTTTAGGTTCGAGAGATTCTCCTGCTTCAGCCTCCCCAGTAGCTGGGATTACAGGTGCATGCCATCATCCCTGCTAATTTTTTTGTATTTTTAGTAGAGACGGGGTTTCACCATGTTGGCCAGGCTGGTCTTGAACTCCTGACCCCAAGCGATCCACCCGCCTTGGCCTCTCAAAGTGCTGGGATCACAGGTGTGAGCCACCATGCTCAGCTGCTCACCTGTATCCTTTGTTTAGGGAGCAAAAAATTCAATGTGTTTTTGAAACCAGCTGCAGTCAGGGTTCCTGTCCATTGGATCTAAAGGCAATCTATTGCCATGAGCATCACACATCTTCAAGAGCAAACAGGGCAGCCAGGAAGTACATTCAAGTGCACTTGCAGAACTCACACATTACCTTCTCAGAATCAAGGGGGACAGAACCAGAGTAGAATTGCTGAGTGGAAGGAGATGCCCATTTTCAGCTTTGCCAGAAATTGGCAAACTGCTCTTCAAAGTGGAGGGACCGACTCATTTGCCATCCCATTGCTAGTGCATGTGATCTCCTGTTTTCCCACATCCTCACCATTTGGTGGGACGGGACCTTTTCATATTTGCCATGGTCACAGCTGAGATGTGATAATGCACTCTTGGCTTTGTTTGCATTTTGCTGATTCCCTGAGAGGTTCAGCACATGCTGCCACATTTGAATCAGTGAGTGCAACTTACTGTGACATAATCGGTACATTGGCCTGAGGTGGGCCGTGTGATATGGTGCTGTCATGCCAATCGATCATCGTCATTGATCCCATGGTATCACAATCTCGGAGTATCACTATCCTGTCACAAGGCTGGAGGTCTGCAGATGGTGGCTGGCACTCCAGCGGCCCTGCACCTCCTTGTTCAGTCTGTTAGGAGCAACAGAACATCCTTTTTCCGGAATGCTCAAGGCATGAGATTCCTTCTGATTGGACCAGCCTGAGTCACATGCCAGCTCCTGAGCCAATCATCGTGGAAAGCACATGGACTGTGCCAATTCACCCAGCCAGGGTCACCTGCTCTGCAGCCCTGGCTGAGTCTATTTTTCCCCAGCACCTGGACTGCCAGGTAGAAATCTATGGCTGCTGGGAAGGGTCAGGAAAAGCATACTGGAGTGTCGATCACAATTTTACTACACAGTCTTTGGCAAAACACACACACACACACACACACACACACACACACACACAGTAACGTCAGGAAAAAAAACAACTTTTCCAGCCCTTTCTGATGAGCTAGATTGGAGTTCCATTTTTGTCACCATTGGGATAATAATGCCTTTCTTCTTCCACACCTGAATCTGGCAGTTCTGAGGTTGTTTCCCGGCCCTGGCTTCTGCCATCCGATCCAGACTTTCGTAGAGACGGTGGTGGGCCCTCTGCCTTTCTGCATCATGTTCTAGAATGTGCCAGGGGAGCCGGGAATCATCCTCCTTATAAGATCGGGCCTTGCCAGGGCTCTCAATTGGAGCCTGTTTTGGGGTTTAGCCCTGAGCACCCTAATTATTTTCACTTTTCTCACACAAAGCTGGGGAGAGAGGTCTATTGAGAACTGGAACCTGGCCATCAACCTTGGGCAGCCACCCTCACTAGGGGGTGGGGGGGGCCTCTGTGTCCTGGTGACCCCTACCATAAGACAGGGTCTTGGGGGTCCTCTGTTCCCTGATGACCCCTATCATGAGACAGGATCCTGGGGGGGCCTCTGCCCTGATGACCCCTATCATAAGACAGCGTCTTCTGAAACAGGGTCTTGCTCTGTCACTCAGACTGGAGTGGATCTCTTGAGGTCAGGACACATGGGGCATCCCACTGCCCTCTCACATGGGAGGGTGGTAAGGCGCCCACTGGGCATTTTGGCATCCCCAGTAAAAGATGTGCTTCTGTGTGTGAACGCAGGGGTGTGTGCGTGTATAAGTGAGACTTGTTCTTTCCCTAAAGTGGTTTCATTAAGGACCGCAGGGGCAGGAGGGCTGCTGCGTGGGCCGTCTTCATCTGCGATACTATGACGTGGCTCCACACCCCTCTCCCTGCCTCTGCCTCTGGATCTGCCCTTAGCCTCTTGCTCTGAACCCCACCTGCCCTCGCCCCTCTGTGTCCTGACCATCGCCCCTGAGGTCTCCCCGGTACATCAAGCCTGAGTCCAGTATCACTTCCTGGTCACAGGCTTCTCCTTGGCACCTCCAGTTTTCCAGTTGCTCAGGCCAAAACCTTCATGCCATTCTTGATTTTTTTTCCCCCATTCCTCTCCTACTCCACATTCAGTCCATCAGCAAACCCTGTCAGCTCTGCCTTCAAAATATATCCGGAGTCACCTCTGCTGCCACCATCCCATCTGCACCACTGTCTTCCCCTGTTCTGGGCTTCTCCTGGGATCCCCCAGCTTCTGCCTTTATGACCCCTTGGTCTGTTTTCAATGCAGCAGCCAGAGGGGTCTAGTCAGAACTACTTCAGATGCTCTTTCTCCTCTGGGTAGAGCCCTCCTTGGCTCCCACCTACTCAGGGTAGAGGCCCCAACAGCCACCTCAGGGTCCCAGTGATCTTTCCCTTCTCTCTGACCCCTCTCAGCCTCCTGGTCTCCCCTCAGCCACTGCGCTCCAGCCACAGCTCCTCAGGCATCAGCCCCGCCTGACACGCACCATGCACAGTGCTTTGCATTTATTTCCTTTGCTCAAAAACTTCTACATGCCTGCACTTTCTTCAGGTCTGTGTTCCAGTGCTGCCTCCTCAGAGAAGCCTTCCTTGACTACCCCATGCCTCCTGTTTGTCCCCGTTTGTTTCCCACCAGTGCCCCCGTCGCCACTGAATGCCACTGACTGTCTTCTGCCCATGTGTTTCCTTGATTATCTCATTTATAAAATGCTAGCTTCCAGGCCAGGGGTGGTGGCTTACGCCTGTAATCCCAGCACTTCGGGAGGCCGAGGCGGGCAGATCACTTGAGGTCAGGAGTTTGAGACCAGTCTGGTCAACATAGTGAAATCCTGTCTCTACTAAAAATAC